GCATATTGATCATACATCTCCTTGTAATGTCTCTTTACGTTATTGAATACTACTAGTACACTAATTTTTTGGAAAACAATATAAATTTCAGAATCAACAAAAGCGGAAGATAGAGGTTTAATGACAGTTGTGCAGGGTCCATGCGAGAAGTTTCCAGACTGCAATAAGTACTGCACTGATAAAACATGGGCCCGTGGAAGATGCGTTAAAATGAGCCCGACTGCCACTAATTTGATGTGTACTTGTTATATATGTTTATATAATCCTGGCCCCCGTTTAACCTGGCCCTGTTTAAAATACAACATGTTATAAGCAAAAAACGCAAAAAATAAGAAATAGTTTTTACTTTAAAATTTTTATTTAATATATAAAATAAAATTAATTTAATTAAGTATAAAAATATGCAGAATAATATCGGTGACACAATATTCAATAAAGATAAAAATGACATAGAAATATGAACATATTTTATATTTTAAAACAAAAGTTATTAGTTATTACTAAAACATCTTATATTTTAAAACAAAGAAAATATAGAATATTATTAAGTGATTGCATGAGTGTTATAATATTAAATAAAAAAAATGTTCGGAGAGTGCATTTTATTGTACGAAATAGCATGGCTACACTACCCAATGTCAAAGGCTCAAGTAGAATGTGATCTTATCGATCGAATTGTTTGTCAGAGGCGGACTCACCTTACCATGCATATGCATATAATGCTCGTTGATGCTTGGTAGATCATGCATGGGATTTTCAATATCTTATGGGCGTTTGTGACGGGTGAGCAAAGAAATATTCATAAACTAATTAAGCTTTTGGAATCCGATGGAAGTTGATATTTTTTTTTTTTAAATTTCTGGTTGTATTTCTAAGAAGCTGTTACATAAGTTTATAGGAGAAAGAAGTAGACCTTGGGTCACAGACCATGAAGGTAAACAAAAAAGAAAACGTTACATTAGAGGTTGAGTACCTCCGAACCATAAAACAAGAGAGTCCGAGAAATGTGGCCTGTCAAACCGAGCAAGGCAAGCATTCCGGACTCCTCTATCCATCTTTTTGAATAAAACCTCCGCAGGTAGAGATTTGTTGCTGAAGATACGCTCGTTGCGTTCCTTCCAAATGTCATAAATCACCCCCTGAGCCATAAGAAGCCGTAGTAAATTATGTGGGGCACTTTGATAACCTCTCCTCAACCATCGTTCAAAGACCTCCCAAGTTCCAAACCCCATATAAGGAGCACTAAGCCTCTGAAATGCCAGTCTCCACACATCTTGGCTATAAGGGCAGTTAAAGAGAAGATGGTCCCTGGTCTCATTGTAGATATATGCCTCTTGGAGTCTTTAGGGAGACGACGTTGCATCCATATCTTTGGAATTCTTCAATCTCACTTATGTTAACATACGCCTAAGCTAAATGCTAATATACACCAGAGTAAAATACTATAATACTACATCATAGCATAAGATCACAAGTTTAAGATGATCATGTACCACATTGGACATTTGGACACAACCTCTTTCACGATCGATACAAAGTGGTTTCCACAATTTCAAGAGCCACTAGTGTCGAATTCGTGACATTCATGTCAGAGCATTGGGTCACCTTTTTTTTTCACTTTATATCCATAGCTAAGGACATGACTTATAAAACCATTTATAATTTTTTTTAATATAAATATATAGCTCGTGATACAAAGTGGTTTCCACAAATATACAAAACATACTTACAAAATACTTATGGTGATATTTTAGTTTTATTATTGGATTAAAATTTGTGGTATTTTAGAATCAAGAATCCTAAATTTAATAGCTATGATTTTGCGAACACCCAAACATCTTCAATGCACACAATGGTTTACATACAACTTTAACTTCTTTCTTCTTCTTTTTTTAATATTCTTTAATCCGTATCTCAAGTCTATCTTTTTATAGTATTATTATATTTTGTAATTACAACTTTAACTTTACTGCTTGTATATTTGACTAAACCATATACTCGATATGATGACGTGTAATATAATACAAGGTATAATTTGCTCAAAATACAACAAAAAAATTATAACTTAAAAACTAACCAAAAACCTCAAAATCAATGGTCTAGATTTTGCCACATACCTCATTTATACTAACTTTTTAATTTTAATTTTTTTTGGTTATACACCAAAATGACCCATAATACAATATGTAAGTTTCAAAAAAAAAGACATATAATATAGATTTTAATGCGTACGCAGTTATTTACATGCATACAACTCTGATTGATTATGATTAAAATAAGCGTAAACCCCAGTTGTTAATTATGTAATTTGCTCAAATAAATCGCAAGATGCTTGGGTGTATTATTTGATGAACAAATCACATTATAACGACATTCTCACAGTTTTTCGAATTTGTTTTATAAGAATTAATTGAATAGCTATATAACAAAAGAATTATAATATCTTTTATCAAAAAATAACAAAAAAATATATTGTTGCCTAGACGTACAACGACAGATAAATTCACAAAAAGAAAAATGATTAGAATATATATAATGAAGCTGAAAAATAAAACCCCCCTAACAGGATAAAGTCTCTTCAACACTAAAGTAAATTTCTAAGAAAAGGATTTTATCATCATTTCCAATGTTTAAACTATCATTTGCAACCAAAAAATATAAAGACAAACAGTAGATATTATAGTGTGTTTCATGACACAAATCAATAAGACCAGAGGTTTTAATACGTTTTTCTAACCATAAAGCCTCAGCAACCATAATCATTTGAAATAAATTGTACGGCATGTTAGTTGATTGTTGAGTCCAAATGTTTGCTGTGCAGAAAGGTTAAAGAATTAGCTGATAATGTCACTCCAAAGTGTCAATAACAAAGAAAAATTAACTAGGAATCTTATAGAGTGTTAAATCGCGATGGGCCGATGGCCTTTTCTCGTAAAACAGCCACTTATTGTAATCCTCCTCCTCTTCCTTACTCCATTTAGAAGCATTCATGTCCGGGATTTTTCGAAACATTACCAATGAGCTTATTTCTCTTCTTTAAGGTATTCCTTGTATGATATATGAAAGACATGGACTTGGATCTTTACAAAAAAGTTTTTGTTTTTCTCCTTTTGCATATAGATGCCACTTACCCAAAATTTTCATTTCCCGTTTCACCATCCTTTTTTGCCAAAAAAAAAAATTTCTAAAAGCGTGTTGATTTTACTTTTTGCATGTTTCGATCTCAGCTGTTGATTCATATCTACGACCAAAAGTGATTGAACAGTACGATTCCGTTAGAGATATATTTTTTTTCGTGAGCTTCGTTTTTAGCTTCTTCTTCCTCTTCAAAAATGCAGGAATTTCAAATTACAATAACTTAATTTATGTTAAGATTCATGGAAAGAAGAAAATGGCTCATAACAAGTAAGAAATATAGATCTATGATTTTGCTTTTTTTTTTTATGTAGATTTGTTACTGACCTCAATATGATTGTTGTTATTGCCGACGACATTAGTATGACTAAGATGGAGATTCAAACATAAAAAATCAAGAGATTGTTGTTATTGCCAATGACAAGTAGCATGACTACTTTGTGAAAGTTTTGGATTTGTACAAAACTTTCACAAGGTAGATCATTCTTTTATGTTTTAAGATTCTTCATTTTCTCAGCAATGTGACAAATTGATACGGCAATGTTCTCTTTAATCTCTTCGTCGCTAGCAACAAATCTACAGCAAAAAGAAAAAATCAGAGGAGAAAAGCAAAATCGAAGAAGAAGAATAGAGAGAGAGAGATTACTTTTTGTCAGCCATTTTCGTGTTTCAGTGTTAAGATTAAGCAATTTTGAGAGTTTGAAATTCGAATTTCTACGTTTTGAGAGAGGAAAAAGAATTTCATGCGGGTTTTTATACTGAATCTATTACGGAAAAAATATTTGATGTACAAAATATCCCTAACTGAATCACTGTAGACCATCGATTCACATCAGCGACCCAGATTGTCATATCATATTTCACAATCGAAATTAAAACAACCTCTTATGATCACTATCATATGATCACTATCATTTATAATTCATCAAGCCTAATTCCAATTTCATCAACATCTCTAACTTGAACAACACAAAGATAAACGAAACTATCAAATTCAGAGATCATTTTCTATCTTAGAAAGAAAGAGAAACCGACCTAGAGCAATTGTACCAAGCTTTTTCTTCCCATGTAGCTTCTCATTCCTATGTCCAGCAAAAACGATCATGTACCCTCAAAATCGAAACAGAGAATGAACACAAAAAAAA